TGCTGGTGCTGGTGCTGGTGAGGCAGGGCTCCTTGTGCCATCCCCCATCCCTGATGTCGGAGGAGCTATCCTCGTGTCCCTTGCCCGATGTCCTTGCAGGGCGCCACGAGAGCCAGGAGCCCTTCTTGGCCTGGCTGCTGCTGCTCAGCAACATGTCATCAGTGCCCTGGGTGCACTCGGTGAGCTACGGGGACGACGAGGACAGCCTGTCCTACGCTTACATGGAGCGTGTCAACACCGAGTTCATGAAGGCGGCGGCGCGCGGCCTCACCATCCTCTTCGCCTCAGGTGGGACTGGGCTGGAGCACTGAGCGGGATCCCTCACTGACAGGGATCCACTAACAGGGATCCCCTGTCACCTGTTCTGTGTCGGCAGGTGACGACGGTGCTGGCTGCCGGCGGGAGCACAGTGGGAACCACACGTTCCGGCCCAGCTTCCCGGCCTCCAGGTGGGTGCGAGGGGTCGGTGCAACCCCCGGGGGCACAGCCAGCCCTGGCCCCTCGGGGGCACAGCCAGCCCCAGCCCTGTGGGGGTATGGCCAGCCCCAGCCCCATAGGAGCACAGCCAGCCCCAGCCCTGTGGGGGCACAGCCAGCCCCGGCCCCGTGGGAGCACAGCCAGCCCCAGCCCCTTGGGGGCACACCCAGCCCCAGCCTCGTGGGGGTCTGAGCCCTCCAAGGTCACCTGGGGATCCTCACCAGCTTCTTACAGACCCCAGAGCTGCAGCCTGTGCAGCTCCGGGGGGTGGTTTGGTTTGTGGGACAAGGCTGGGGTAGCAGAGGGGGCTCTTGGTGGCTGCTGAGGCCCAGGCAGCCGTGTGCCCACCTGCAGTGTCCCCGTTTCCCCAGCCCCTATGTCACCACGGTGGGTGGCACGTCCTTCAAGAACCCCTTCCTGGTGACAGAGGAGGTGACGGATTACATCAGCGGGGGCGGCTTCAGCAACGTCTTCCCCTTGCCTGAGTACCAGGTAGGGACCCCTGTGCTGCCAGCCCGGGGGCTGCAGGGGTAGGGCTGTGGGGACAGGGGGCAGTGGGGATTCCCACAGGCTCTGCCATCCCCAGGCTGCTGCTGTCAGGCGTTTCCTGCGCTCAGCCTCCAAGCTGCCCCCCAGCTCCTACTACAACAGCAGCGGCCGTGCCTACCCTGACCTGGCAGCGCTCTCTGACAACTACTGGGTGGTGACAAACCGCATCCCGCTGCCCTGGGTCTCGGGCACCTCGGTAAGGAGCTCGTCCTCTCCCACTGCCCGCGGCACGGCGGGCCCGGGCTGAGGGGTTGTGCCCACGCAGGCGTCCACGCCGGTGGTGGCAGGCATGGTGGCACTGATCAACGACCGGCGCCTGCAGCGGGGGCTGCCACCCCTCGGCTTCCTCAACCCTGCGCTCTATCAGCTGCAGAAACAAGGGCTTGGTGATGCCTTCTACGATGTGAGTGGGGCAGGGGACGGGGGCTTCAGGGGCTCTACTAGGGGCTGAGGGGACTTTGGGTATCCTGAAGTGTTGGGCTGAGGCCTGGGGTGGGCCTGTCTGTGGGGCTGGGAAGGCCATGTGTGCTCCAGGGGCTGGGCTGGGGGCTGAGGGGAATGTCCTGGGGCTCCTGCTCCCAGAGCTGTGCCTGGGGCAGGGCCAGCAGTGTTCTGCTGGGGGGCAGGAGAGAGTCCCTATGGCCTTCCCATGGGAGGGGTGTCCTGGGGTTCCCCTTGACCTTTCCATGGGAGTGGTGTCTATGGGCTCCTGTGAGCTTTGTGGGGCAGGTCCCCTTATGTGGCCGGGGCAGCAGTGGCCAGTGACTGCAGAGGTCCCAGGGTGCAGCTGAGCGTGATGTTCCACATGCCAGTGTCCTGAGGGGACCCTGTGCCATGGGGGGTGTTGTGGGGGTCCCCGTGTCAGATGTCAGGGGCCCCTGTCCCTGGGATTCCTGTCTCAGGGATGGCAGGCACGGCTGTCCCTGGTTCCCAGGGACTATGGGCAGGGTCCCTGTGCCCCGGGGTCCCTGTCCCAGGGCTGTGTGGGGCTTCTGTACTCCGGAGGTCGCTGTATCGAAACTCGGGGGGGTCCCCGAATCCCCGCACTGAGGCTGTCCCCGCAGGTGATCCAGGGCTGCCACCTGTCCTGCCTGGACGGCACCGTGCAGGGCCAGGGCTTCTGCGCCACCCCCGCCTGGGACCCGGTCACCGGCTGGGGCACCCCCAACTTCCCGCGCCTGCTGCGGGCGCTGGGGCCGCGCTGAGCAGGGCGCCGGGCCCAGACCGCTGGAACAGACAGCGGCACCGGACAGCGAAGGCCGCGGAACCGGGGGCGGGGCAGGGCTGGAGGAGGCGGGGCAATAAACACGCCAAGCCCCGCCCACAGTCTCTGTTTGTGCCCGCGCCTCCGCCAGGAGGCGTGCGGGGCCATTGAGCGTCGGAGGGCGGGGCCAATGGGGGCGGGGCGGGGGCGCGACAGAACCAATGGGCCAGCGAGAGGGGCGGGGCGGAGGGGCCGCGGGGCCAATAGAGCGGCCGGGCGCGCGCAGGCGCGGAGCGGAGGCTGGTGCCGGGACCATGAGCGGCAGCGCCGATCCCGACCCCGCGCCCGCCGCCCCGGCGGCCCCGCCAGGCCCCGCCGAGGGCAGCAAGCCCAGCCCGGCCGCCGTGGGCAGCGCCGGGCCCGGGGCGGCGCCGGCTGCGGGGGGCGGCGCGGCGCGGGCCACCGAGGGCTGTGCGGCCGGCGCGAGGGGGCCCGGTGAGTCGCGGTGGGGCCGGCGGGGGATGGGTCCCGGGCGCGGGAGCCCCGCGGGACGCCCTGAGCCGCTCTGGCCGGGGAGCGGCGTCCGGCGGCCGCGGGTGTCCGAGTCCCGCTGAGCGTGCAGTGCCGGTGTCGGCGAGGCGAGGCGCGCGGGGCTCCCGGCGCTGACCGTGCTGTCCTGCAGTGCCGGTGCCGGCGGGGCTCCCGGCGCTGACCGTGCTGTCCTGCAGTGCCGGTGCCGGCGGGGCTCCCGGCGCTGACCGCGCTGTCCTGCAGTGCCGGTGCCGGCGGGGCTCCCGGCGCTGACCGTGCTGTCCTGCAGTGCCGGTGCCGGCGGGGCTCCCGGCGCTGACCGTGCTGTCCTGCAGTGCCGGTGCCGGCGGGGCTCCCGGCGCTGACCGTGCTGTCCTGCAGTGCCGGTGCCGGCGGGGCTCCCGGCGCTGACCGTGCTGTCCTGCAGTGCCGGTGCCGGCGGGGCTCCCGGCGCTGATCGTGCTATCCTGCAGTGCCGGGCCAGCGGGGCTCCCGGCGCTGACTGTGCTGTCCCGCAGTGCCGGTGTCCGCGGCCGTGGCCGCCCCCCCGGACGGGGCCATGTCCAACGGCGTGTACGTGCCGCCCGCGGCCAACGGCGACGTGAAGCCCGTGGTGTCCACCACGCCGCTCGTGGACTTCCTTATGCAGCTGGAGGACTACACGCCCACGGTACCGACACACAGGGCGGCTCCTGGGGGACGGGACGGGGCACGGGGCAGGTCCCGCGGTGCCGGGGCACGGGGCAGGTCCCGTGCCGCGGGATACAGGATGTGGAAAGGCTCCCACGGCGCCGTGGAGCTGTTTCAACTCTTCCCTTCGCAGATCCCGGACGCCGTCACGGGGTATTACCTGAACCGGGCGGGATTTGAGGCCTCGGACCCCCGCATGTGAGTCGCCGCGGGGCGGGAGGAGTCGCCGGAGCCCCGCAGGGGTTCACCCTCCGGCAGAGGGGCCCGCGGGCTCCTGCCACCTCACCGACACCGGCCCTGTCCCATAGAATCCGCCTGATCTCGCTGGCAGCACAGAAGTTCATCTCGGACATTGCCAACGACGCGCTGCAGCACTGCAAGATGAAGGGCACGGCCTCGGGCAGTTCCCGCAGCAAGAGCAAGGTGAGGGCACCGAGGGAGGTGGGGAACCCTCCTGGAGATGGGGCTGAGCCTGCAGCCACCCAGGGCAGGAATACGGGCTGCAGGAATCCCAGAACCTGCTGGGCTCACGGTGGGTCCCTGCAGGTGGGGAGGGGCTGGCGGGGACACGAGGGGGGCACGGAGCTTGTGGGCACGCTTTGGTGCCCCCCGCCCCAGCAGTGGCCACAGCTCTGGGCTTGGGGAGGAGCTGGAGTGAGGGGTCCTGGGGACCTTCCTAGTGCCATATCTGGGGTGCAGGAGTTCTACAAGGCCAATGGGATTGGGTGCTAGGTGCACGGGGACATCTGAGGGCACAGAGCAACAGGACGTGGGGAGCTGGGAATGCCCTAGTGCTGCCCAGCAGCTCCTCTGGGAGTGGGACACGCCTGTCCATGTGCCCTGGGGGTCCCACAGCCCCAGCTGTCCCTGCTGTGACCCCTGCCCCGTGTCCCCAGGACAAGAAGTACACGCTGACCATGGAGGACCTGACGCCGGCGCTGGCCGAGTACGGCATCAACGTGAAGAAGCCACACTACTTCACGTAGAGCACGGGGAGCTTGGCAGTGTGCAGGGCTTGTGTTGGTGCCATTAAACACCTCCCAGGGTTTTGTGGGAAGGCAGCCTTGCTCCTGTGCCTGTGCCCACTAATGCTGGCCCTGATCCTCCACATGCTCAACCCCCTCTGCCCATCACAGGGGGCTCGGTGCTCCCGACAGTGCTGGAGCAGAGTGGGGTGAGGGGACAGGAACTGCCCAGCACTCCTCCTCCTCCTCTGTCCCTAAACTGCCCCTTGCCTCCCAAGGGAATGCCCTGGGGGCTGCACAGGCAGCACTACAAATCAAGCCAGGGACGGGACCTGAGCCCACCCCTCCTGCAGCAGGCACCTCCCGAGGGGCCCTGTGCCCATCTACCCTACCTGTGCTGAGCACCAGAGGTTGCTGTGGGTGGTGATTCGTGCCCAGGGCTCTGTGGGCTGCAAGGCAGCACCACATCAATGCAACCCCACCCTCACTCCTAGACCTTCCCTGTGAGTCCCAGCCCCTCAGTCACTCCAGCCCCTCACCCCCAACCAACACCCCCATTCCCTGCCCTGTGCCCCAGCAGCTGGTTCCATACCAAAGGTTTATTTGGTTGCCAGTGGCCATTCTGGGGCCAGAGGGAAGTGGCCAGTGAAGCGCAAAGCGGGGGCAGTGCTGGGCACCACAGGTGGCCTCTCCTGGCCTGCCCCTTGCCCCCCAGCCTTGGGGGGCTGAGTCCTGGGTTGGGCTTTGCCCAGCAAGGGGGACAGGGGGCCCCACAGCCCCGTCCCCCCGCAGCCCGGCCAGGCCACGCGCCGTGCCCTGGGCCAGGGGTCTGCACTGGGCTGGGTGGGGCTGCCCTGGGCGGGGGGCCGGAGCCTGCAGAGCTCCAGCGCAGGCAGTGCCATCTGTACCGTGTGTCCGTGGCTGGCTCAGGGTGAGGGGTGTCCTGTGCTCCCCCTGGCTCTGGGGCTAAAGGCACTTGGGGGTGGCGGGGGGCGCAAGGCAGCACTGGAGGGGGGAGGAGGCGCCTCCTCTCTACTTCTCCTGCATCTTCTCCAGGATGGGCACAATCATGTCGAACTTGGGGCGCTTGGCCGGGTCCTCGTTCATGCAGATCTTCATCAGTTTGCAGATGTGGGGGGAGATGCCAGGGGGGATGGTGGGACGCAGCCCCTCCAGCGCTACCTGCAGGCAAGAAGAGGAGCCCGAGTCAGGACTGGGACCCTGCCCCCACAGGCAGGGACACCTTCCACCTGCCCAGGTGCTTCCACACCCCCTCCAACCTGGCCTAAACACTTGCAGGGATGGAGCAGCCAGAGTTCTCTGGGCAACCTGTGCCAGGGCCTCACCACCCTCAATGGCCAGAACTTCTCCCCTAACTCTGACCCAAATGAGTTCCTCTGCTATCCCTCCACCCCCTCACCTTCATACCAATCTCCATGTTGGACAGGTCAGCGAAGGGCACCTCACGTGTCACCAGCTCCCACAGCAGCACCGCAAAGCTCCACATGTCAGCTGAGCGCCGGTTGATCTCCTCTGGTTTCTTCTGCAGGGCTGGGGGACGGCTGGGGGCTGAGTGGGGCTGGGGGTGAAGGGAGCTCTGGGGGGGCTGGGAACTGGGCACTCACCTTCAGGAGCCACCCAGGCCGGGGCATACATCCGCCCTGGGCACTGGAAGGAGAACTTGACGTCGGCCATGCTGATCCGTGCCGTCATGTCCTCATCGATCTGGGGACAGCAGCAGGCGGTCAGTGGGAGCCCCCCCTGCCCTGAGAGCCCCCTGCCTGGGAGAGGGGCTGTGCTTGCTCACCATGACGCTGCGGCTGTTGAGGTGGTGCCGTGGGATGAGGGGCTCCAGCGTGTGCAGGAAGGCCATGCCCCGCGCAATGTCGAAGGCAAACTTCACCGCCTGCATCTGGTCCACCACAAAATCTGGGAAGGGGGGGACGGGGTCAACCCACCCTAAGCCCAGCCAGGGCTGTGGCTGGAGAGGCTGCCCCCAAACACACCATCCCCCAGCACTCACTGGTTCCCTCGTGCAGGACGTTGTACAGGGAGCCATAGGGCATCCAGTGGCTGATGACAATGGGGTGGGGAGCTGGAGGGGCCTGGCAGGCACCCAGCACCGGCAGCACATTGGGGTGGGAAAAGATCCTGCAAGAGAAGTGACAGCCCTAAGAACAGGAAGGGGCTGCCTGCACCCCTCGTTGCCCTTTGCCATCCCCCAGGGCCTCCCAGCCCTTGGCCACCACCCTGGAGCGTTCTTGGCCCCACAGACCTCCTGGGAGGCTCCTGCCTGCCCCATACTCTGAGAGCTGCTGCTAGCCCTAAGAAGGTGCCCTGGTGAAGTGCTGGTGGGGATCCCAGGCACATCACAGCCAGCATGGCCCCAGGCACGTGCAGTGCTCACCGCAGTTTTGGGTACTCCTCATTGAAGTCCCGGCTCTTTCGCGTTGTCCAGTCCCGGATCCTCAGTATCTTGATTACGATGTCATTGCCCTGCCAGCGCCCCTTCCACAGCTGGAGGAGGAGCAGACACAGGCACCGTGAAAGGGGTGCAGAGGCCCCAGCATCCCCAGGCACCCCTGTGGGGCTCTGAAGCCCGCGGGACCAAGGGTCCACAATGAGAAGGGAGCCCCTTGAGCTGGGGAGGAGCTCCCTCCCTGCGCCTGGCCATGGGACTGCAGAATGGCTGTGCCCAGCAGGGCCAGGACACGGCAGTGTGCACAGGCACCCACCTGGGGTGAGAGGGACCCACCTCTCCCGACTGGTTCTCGTTCAGTTTGTGGCTTAGGCTCAGCTGTTTGAAGTCAATCCCGGCGAGTTTGTTCAGGGTCCCGTTCCCTACAGTGGAAGAGGGATGAATGCCTCTGGCTGCTGGATCCAGGAGGCAGTGCCAGCAGGGCACAGGGGACCCATGGCACCCCCCAAGGGACCCCCAGTCCTTACTGGGCCGGGTGCGGGTTGTGCCCTTCCAGAACGTGTCCTTGTAGGGGATCTTGGTGAGGCTCTGGCCCAGCTTCTCAGCACGCTCTGCAGAGGGAGGAGAAGGATGGTGGCACCCCGAGCCTGCTGTGGCTGGCTGGAGGCTGTGTCACTTGTAGGGTCCTGAGAGACCCTCATACCTTTCAGGATCTCTCGCAGTGGCGTCTTGGCCTTGTCTGTGGGGGTCTCACCATATTTGTTAGCAATGCTGACCAGGGCCCCGCTGCCCACAAGGTCCTGTGGGAGCAGGGAGCAGGGACTGTGGTTTGTGATCTCCCCTCAGTCCCCCTCCCACCCTGCCCTCCCTCCTGCCTGTGCTCCCACTCACCTCAGCCACCTGCTCGTGTCCCCAGAAGCAGGCATAGTGCAGTGGCGTGTTCCCGTGCTCGTTCACTGCATTGATGTCTGCCTTGAACTGCATCAGCTGGGGACATGGGACAGCCCCTGTCAGCCCAGGACTGTCCTGGTAAGCCCAGGCCACATCCCCATGAGCCCAGGACAGCCCTCATCCTCCTTGTGCCTTGGCCTGGGGGATGCAGGGGCAGCACACTGGGAGCTGTAGGGAGGGGGCTGAGCTGACGTGGGACTCAGAGGGATTTGGAGGATTTGTGAGGAGTGGGGAGCTCATTGGTGCTGGGGGCATGCCAGGTGCTCCTGACAGTGACCAGGGGAGCAAGGCCCACGAGGGTAGTGTGGAGGGCTGCTCAGGGGTGGGTTAAGGCAGGTGCTGGCACAGGGGCCAGGTACCTTCTGCACGATGTCGCGGTGGCCGTGGCTGGCGGCCAGGTGCAGCGGGGTGTCGTCGCCGCGGTTCATGACGTTGATGCGGGCCCCGCGCATGATGAGCATGTCCACCACGTTGGAGCGGCCCTCGCGGCAGGCCCAGTGCAGGGGGCTGAACCCATGGTCGTCCCTGCAGGGTGGCAGGGGCTCTGTTCAGCTGGATCCCCCTGGCCTGGGCATCGCTGGCATCGTTCTCAAAACACCAGTGGCAGGAGCCAAGGGACTGGGCTGAACATCCATCCCACTCCCACCCCCACCAGGGCCCCACCAGCCCAGGCCAAATCCTGTCTCCTCCAAGGCTGAATCACAGCTGGATCCTGTCCCCATCCCCCCACTCCATGACCAAGTAAGGGAGGAGGTGGCAGCCAGGCCTTAAATGGAGATCAGGAACTGGCAGAGGGGCTGCTGCAGCCCCGGCTCCCCTCCAGCCCAGGCTCCCCCCAGTCCCAGCCCTGCTCCAGCCCCCTGGCACAGCAGACCCCATTTGTCACCACCATGGCCCTGCAGGCAGGGGCTACCCAGCACAGAACAGTTCCTTGGGCACCTTCTGTGGGTCTGGGAGAGCTCCATGTGCCTGGGACCCCCAGGAGGGGCAGGGAGGCCTGACCAAGGGAGCCATTTGTCTGGAGCGTGTCCGGAATGCCAGGGCTGTGGCCTGGCTGGGGTCACGGTGCAGGGTCACACTGTGCCAGCTCACACACTGCAGGCAGATGCTCCAAGCCCCAAGCCTGGCCCAAATGTGCTCCTGAATGGCTGTGAGCACACGCTGGACGCTACGGTCCTGCAAGACCCCTCAAACAGGCTGTGGGGAGCAGAGCCCTGGGCATACAGAGTGGCCCCCACAACTCCCAGCCCAGTGGTCCCAGCTGTGTGCCCACACATCTGCCATGGTGCTCCCCAGAGAGGGGACAGGGACACGAGGACAAGGTCAGGGGACACAGCCGCCACCACAGGGACAGGGGAGGCAGCCCCAGCCCAGCTGATCCCCGGCTGTGTCCGTGAGGAAGTGGCCAGAGGATGTTTGGCCTCGTGCCTCAGCGATGCGGTAACTTCCTCCAGCGGGGAGGAGCTGCGTCCTGCCATCTGCCCCTGCCTTTCCATGGAGACAGCAGCAACCAGCGCCCAGCAGAGCCCCCAGCCCCACACAGCCCCGCTCACCCCTGGTTGAGGTCGTTCTCGGTGTTGTCCAGCCACAGCCGCACGGCCACCGCGTTGCCCTCCCGGCACTGTGTGAAGATGTCGTCCATGGCAGCTGTGGGGGGACGCGGGTAAGGACATGGGGACAGACCCCCGATCCCCCTCGGCGGGGAGGGCCCTGGAACAGCAAGTACAGGAGCCTCCCGCCTGTCCCTGTCCCTGCAGCTCTCCAGGAAGCCGCGGGCAGGCTGAGGTCGGGGCTGGAGCCAGACCCGCAGCTCAAGGGGAACATCCCGGGTGACTCCAGCGGGACCGTGGCCACCCACAGGAAACCAGGCTGGCACCCCGGGCTTATCACCAGGCACAGCTGGCCCCGGTGCCCACAGCTCTTGGGGGAGTGAGGCTGGGGGAGCTCAGCACCCTCAAGATGGGACCCACAGATCTGGTGGGGCAGTGAGGCTGGGGGAGCTCAGCATCCCTGGCACGGGATCCTGCAGCTCCCTGACCCTCCTGACCCACTTGGCTGGGCCTGGCGTGGGCCATGGAGAGACCCCAAAGCCTCATGCATGGAGGACCCCACGGACATGGAGGATCCATGGACACCCCAGCTCAGAGCCAGGCACTGAGCTCCCTCCTGCTCCCCGTGTCCCCGTGTCCCCCTGGCTGCGAGTGTCGGACCCACTGCTGCAGTTTGCGAGCTGAGCAGGGACATACAGTGAGTCTCACTGTGTGGGGACAGTCAGATTGAATATGGCATCCCGACACGCACCCACTGGGGCTCAAACCTGCTGCTGAAGGATCCCCTGGACCTGATGCCCACCCAGACACAGCAGGATCCCCACCAGCTGCCAGCACCTCCAGCTGTCCCCCCTGCACCCCTTTCCCCAGGCAGCTCCAGAGGAAGGGTATGCAGAACCCTGGATTTTTACCCAGGGTCTCGTACACCCCAGCATGGCCCCAGCACACCCACAGCAGCACTGGCCCTGTCCCAGCACCTGAACACCCGCAATGCCCCACCCATTTGGGGGCACCTCATGAAAAGGGGTCCCCAGGATGTGCCACACTAGTCCCGGCCCTGTGGGACCTCACCCCACAGCGATGACACCCCATGCTGGCCCCACCCTGTCCCCTGCTCAGCCAGGACTGTGCCCTCCTGTCACCCACCGGCCCCTACCCAGTCCCGCGGGGCCGAGCGGCCCCAGCCCTGCCCGGATGGCCAATGCCCACCTCGGCCTGCTCAGCTCCCGGGGCAGGGCACGGGATGTGGAGACACAGTGCCCCGGTGTCACCCCAAACCAGCTGCTAGGGCCCCGCTCTGCCCTGTGGCCACATCAGTCCCTCCCTGCACCCCCAACTCTCCCCTGTACCCCCAACCCTACCCTGCACCCCAACCCTCCCTTGTACCCCCAACACTCCCCTGTACCCCCAACCCTCCCCTTCAGCACCCAACACTCCCCTGTACTCCCAACCCTCCCCTTCAGCACCCAACTCTCCCCTGTACCCCAACCCTTCCCTGTACCCCCAACCCTTCCCTGCACCCCGATCCCTTCCCTGTACCCCCAACACTCCCGTGTACCCCCAACACTCCCCTGTACCCCCAACACTCCCCTGTACCCTCAGTCCTATACCCCAGATCCCTTCCCTTCTCCCTTGCACCCCCAACTCTCCCCTGTACCCCCAACCCTCCCCTATACCCCCAGTCTTGTACCCCCAACACTCCCTTGTACCCCCAACTCTTCCTTGCGCCCCCCACCCCTCCCCTGCACCCTGATCCCTCCCCTGCGCCCCCAGCTCTTCCCTAGACCCCGATTCCTCCCCTGTACGCCGGTCCCTTCCCTGCGCCCCCCAACCCTCCCCTGCAGCTCCCGCCCCGGCCCTGGCTCCGGCTCCCTCCGGGCTCCGTCCGGCCCTGCCCCCGCTTGGGTCGCCCGCAGCCGCCCTCGCGGCCTCCCGAACCTGTCCCGCTGGGCGCGGGTGCCGTCCCGCCGTTACCGGGTGCGTGTCCCGGCGGCTCCGCAGGGCGGCGGCTGCGACGGGCGCGGGGCGGGCGGGCGGGCGGGGGCTCCGCCCGAGAGGGCGCCCTCTGCTGGCCGGAACCCGCCCGACCGCGGCTGCTCCGCCACACGGCACCGGGCGGGGCGGGGCGGGGAGCGCGCTCAGGCGGGCCGGACGCGGGTACGGGGCGTGCCAGGACTGACCGGGGGCGCGGCTCCCGGCCGGGGCGGAGCGGGCCGCCCGCGGCACCGCCCGTGCAGCCCAGGCCCCCTCCCGGTCCGCCGGGCCGCGAGGAGGGGCTGTTCCCGCGGCGGGAGCACGTGCGTCCCGGTACCGAGCGAGGGTCCCCGCTCCATGTTCGCGGAGCAGGGCTGGGACGATGCAGCGGAGCCGCTGCCCCGGAGGGCCCGGGCCGGCCGGTAAGCGGGCGGTGCGAGGGCGGCGGGCCGGGCCAGTCCCGGGCGCGGGGACGTTACCGGGGCCCGCTCTGCACAGGACCCCCGGAAAGAGGCGGCTGCCCGGGACCCCTCGGGACGGTGAGGCGGCGCGGAAGCGGCCCCGGAAGCGGAAGAAGGCCGGCGGGCCGCGGGCCGCGGCGGGGGAACTCCCGGCCGGTCCCGACGAGCCCCGGCAGGCTGGGCAGCGGCCGGACACAGGTACCGGGACGGCGCCGGGGCCCGGCGGGCAGGGGAGAGCCGCCTCTGCACCCTGACCCCCTCTCGATGCCCCCAGACGGCGCGGCTGAGCCGGCGGAGGAGCCCGGGGAGCCGGCGGGACTGAGCCGTCGGCAGCGGCGGAACCGGCAGAAGCGGCAGCGGCAGCAGGAGCCGCCGGCGGGGTCGGACGGGGAGCGGGGCTCCGGGCCGGGCCCCCCGGACCCGCCGGGCCCCGCGGAGGCTCCGCCGGAGCCGCGCTCAGGCCGCGCGGCCGCGCTCCGCGCGCGGATGGAGGAGCGGCTGCTCGGCGCCCGGTTCCGCTACCTGAACCAGCAGCTCTACACCGGCAGCAGCCGGGACGCGGCGCGGCTCTTCCGCGACGACCCCGCCGCTTTCCACCTCTACCACCGCGGCTTCGAGCGACAGGTGCGGCGCTGGCCCGAGCGCCCGGTGCAGCGCATCGTGCGCTACCTGCGCCGCCGGTGAGCGGGGCCTGGCGGGAACATGGACCGGGGGGCCGGGAGCGGGGCCAGGGGCTGAACGGAGAGCCGGGGAGCGGTGGGGCCCGTGAGTGATCGGGGGACCGGGAGCGATCGGGGGCCCGGGAGCGATCGGGGGCTCGGGAGCGATCGGGGGCTCGGGAGCGATGGGGACAAGGCGCCGGGCCCGGCCGCTCTGAGCCCGCCGTCCGTGCCCCAGCCCCGCGTCGCTGGTGGTGGCGGATTTTGGCTGCGGGGACTGCACGCTGGCCGCCAGCGTCAAGAACCAGGTGCACTGCTTCGACCTGGTGCCACTGAGCCCGCGGGTCACCGTCTGTGACATGGCCAAGGTATGGGGCACCCCCGGGCAGGGAGGGTGAGCAGGCGGGACCGTGACCCCGAGGGTCCCGTGCGGGCTGGGGGAAGCACGGTGTGTCTGCTCGAAAGCTGGGTCTGTGCCTGGGGCACGGCTGAATCCACGAGTCTGGGCAGTCCGGGGCGAGTCCCTGCCCCATCAACATCGCCATCCTCCTCCTCCTGCTCCCGGGGGTGTGCAGAGCGACTTCCAGGCCAAGTCATCTTCCTCCTCCTCCGGGGCTGTCCCGGGGTGGGCAGGTGCCGCTGGCGGCTGAGGCGGTGGATGTGGCCGTGTTCTGCCTGGCGCTGATGGGCACCAACCTGCAGGAGATCCTGGGAGAGGCCAACCGTGTGCTCAAGCTCGGGTAGGCAGAGGTCCTGGGGCAATGGGGGATTGGGGCAGGGCTGCTGAGCAGCGTCCTGGGGGTGCCTGGGCACCCTGCTCAGAGCTCAAGTGACCGCAGGGGGACCCTGCTGGTGGCCGAGGTGGCCAGCCGCTTCGAGGACACCCGTGCCTTCCTGAGGGCCATGACGCAGCTGGGCTTCAAGACCGTCTCCAAGGTGTGTGCCCTAGGGCTGGGCACTGGGAGCATCAGGAACCAGGGAGCCCAGTGAAGGGGTCCAGGGAGGGGGTGTCCTGAGGCCAGCCTGGTGTGGAGCAGACCAGGGGTTGGTGAAAGTAGATGGGGGTGGAAGGCATTGGTGCATGAGGGACTGCAGATGGGAGAATGGGGGATGCATATGCACAGGGGTGGAGCCCTGGGGGAAGGTTTGGGGGACTGTGGGGGCACGCTGTGGCAGTTTGGGACGCAGCTTGGGTGGGGTGCTAGGGGTGGGGAGGGGATGAGGGGGGCCTGGAGTGCACTGGAATTGCTGTGCAGGGCTTGGAGGTGGGCGTGTAGCCCAGGAGGGGCTTGGGGGTCCCGGGGCCTGGAGGAATTGTGGTGTGGGGTTGGTGATGGGTGTGTTGGGCATTTAGAGAAGTGTGCTGGGGGCTGGGGTACTCAGGCAGCACAAGGGCTTTGGAGCCAGGGTCTGGGCACAGTGGGGGTCTAGAAGGAGGCAGGGGGGGATGCGGGGTTCTCTGAGACGGCATTGAGTGGTGCTGGAGGGCTGGGAGTTCCGGGGCTATGGTGATGATGGGGGCTCCGAGCTGCCGGTAACAGAGTCGGGTGTCCCTGCGCCCCCAGGACCTCTCCAGCTCCTATTTCTACGTGTTGGAGTTCACCAAGACGGGCCCGGCCCGGCCCGGCCCCGCTCCCGGGCTGCGCCTGCGGCCGTGTCTGTACAAGCGCCGGTGACCGGAGCGCCGGGATGGGGCGGGGACGCGCCGGGGTGGGGGCGGGGCCACTGCCGATGGCCCCGCCCCCTGGGCGCAATCACCAATAAAGCCGCTGCTTTCTCACAGCTACGCCTGCGCGTCTGGGGGGCGGGGCCGCGCCTGCGCGGTGCGGTCGGGCCTGCGCGGCGGCAGCGCCCGGGACCGGTGCCGGGATGTCGGGGCCGGGCCCCGCCGGGGCCAAGCTCGACATCAACCGCGCCGGCGTGGCCGAGCTGGAGGGTGCCCTCAGCGGCATCGGCCGCCGCCGTGCCCGCGGTATCGTCCGCAAGAGAGAGGTGCGGGGGGGGGGGGGGGGCGGTCCGGGGAGCGGCGGGGACGGCACCCCGCGCTGAGCGACCCGGGCCGGGACGCCGAGGCGGGGATGGCCGTGGCGGTGTCGGTCCCGGGGCGGGGGCCGCGGGAGGAGTGCGGGGGCGACAGCGCTGTTTCCGTGCTGGTAGCCGGGGCAGGTGGGGGGCCGGGATCCCCGAGTCCCGCCCCGAGCTTGCGGGGCCGGGCGAGCGCAGCCGCCCCGGTGCTGCCGGGTCCCGGCAGCGCCCCGAGCCGAGCGGGGAACCGAGGGAACGGGCGGGACTGGCCCCGCACCCCGACGGCTTCCGAGCGCTGTCAGCGGCGATGGCGGGGCGCGACCCTGCGGCGAGTGGTGCCCCGGTCGGGGGCAGAGGGAGCGGCACCGCGGGCCCAGCCCGGCGGGCGCGGCAGCGGCAGCCGTGCCCTGGTGCCACAGGGATGGGCAGCGCCGCGGCCGGGCGAGGCAGGGCTGGGAGCGCTTGGCATGTTCGGGGCTCGAAGAGGAGGTAGAGGGGCGGATGTCCAAGCGCTGTGGACACGTACGCTCGGGAACACCGGGAGGCGGGAGGGCAGAAACAGGCGATACAACGGGAGGGTGGTCTGGAGCAGGACCTGTCCCGGGCGGTGCTGCTACTGCAGCCCTTTGTGGGGAGCAGCAGCAGCACCGTCAGACGAGCCCTGTCGCGTCAGAAGGGCCAGTCGGGCCCTTCCCGGGCTCGCTGTCTGTCGAGTCCTGCCCCAGCACAGCCCGGGCCGCTGGATTCCTCCCCTGGAGGGCGCTCCGGTAGCCGTGTAGGGTGACGGGAGGCAGCTGATCCCCGATCGGGGCCGGGCAGTGCCCGGGGTCCCGCGGGACAGTGGGTGCCTCGTATATGTGCATCTGTGCGTGTCCAGCTGTTCCCCTGCCCTGGAGCTGCAGCCTCGCTCCCTATCCAGCTCATCTGGGGGCACAGTGCTCCTGCCCCAGCTGGCAGCTTTGGGCTGCTGCCCCCCTTTCACAGCGCTGTGACTCTTCCCCACGGGGCCGCTTGGGCAGGGGGCTCTGGGAGCAGGAGGGATTCTGTTCTGGGCAGGGCTGACTTCCC